AATGTTTGGAGCTTCAGCTCACTTCTTTGGTCTATCAGCCTGAAATTAACTTCTTATTTTAATTAAAAATCACGTCAAATTCACATTTAACAACAAATCGTCATCAATAACCTGTAAAATATCTGGCTGAATGAGTTMAACTCTAACAGGAAATACCTTGTTTGGAGAACGAGGTTTTTAAGTTTTTAACCCTTGAACAGGCGCTCATTTCACAGGCAGAGGAAATTTTCATTTCCAGGAACTGGAGTTTTTTATATCRTTTCCTTAAATACATAAAAATTGAATTCTATTTGTTTTTCGTCAATTACATGACATTTAATACAAAGCAAGCTTTAGGCCCATGAATCATCAATGAAAAAATGAACCCAGCAGAAAGACGTAAGATCTTCTCCTCGTGATCAGCTGGTTTTAATGGTTCCTCTTTGGAAACCTGGTGACKCAGTTTATGACGTCTGTAAATGGAGATTATAAAAATGTTTATGGAATCTAAGATAACCACAGCCACCCTTCATCCTAAACTCACCTTTTCTCCACAAGTACTCAGAAACCAGAGCAGCGACGTGGACGTAACACATGGCTGCCTGCAGGTGGAAGACACAAGTCCCAGTGTAAGACAAAGGTTACAACAATAAGCATGAAGCTCAGGTGGCATCGGGTTCCAAACCTCAGACAGGTCCCCGTTCTTGTTGTGGATCCGAGCCATGCTGTCCARCCAGGTCTTCCGGAGCTCCGGGGTGCTGGTGTAGGATTTGGCCAAGCTGTACTGCAGGTCCACCAGCATCTCGGGGTCGTTCTCGTGCTCCTTCATCTGCTCTGTGGCCATGAGCACGGTGCGGATGCGCTTGGTGAGGTCCTTCACGTCTGAGGGGAACGCCGTGTGCTGCGGCATGGAGCAGGAACAAGTTAGGCTCATCTGCTGCTAGCTAAAACTGCTAYGAAACATTAGCTTTTTGATTTGATCAGAARTAAACAAYCTTTGTCCAAACTGAGTTCTTTCAAAGATCTATCTATAGCAGGTAAGATATTTAMTGTTGATATYGTTCCACTGAACCTTAGYTCAAAAATATCTGAGCAGTGGCTGTGTCTCAATTCATGGGTTGCAGCCCAKGTTGGTCATGAGACGGTCTAGTCTACAGAAGACGTATGTGGGCACAGCTAATCAAACAGTTAGCAGTTCGCTAACCTCCAATCCACTGACTTAAAATTTAGGTGAAGCTAATTGGTCCTGAAGGATGTTTTGAGACTGATTARCTGAATTTTAGATACAGTCTTATAGYTTGTGATCWGTTTTAGTCTTTAAACRGGAAGAGAATCAACATGTCTCTACTTAGTGCATGCCTCCCTCCAGCAGAAGAAAAATATTTAACATTTCCTGTGTATCAATGCTGATGTGAGAAGGACAACCCAAAGGGGTGTGACCAGGTTTTCTATAAATATTATGAGCTGTRTAAGATGAGAGCTGAGGACCATTTTGTTTTAGAACTTCCAGGGCCACACAGGCTCTGAGATAAAATGGAGTCTTTAGATCTGAAAATACACATTTAACTGAGGACTTATTTGATTTTCTGCATATTATTCAGGCATCAAATGTAGAGCATATTCTTAGAGTACACTTCAAGCTTCCAATGTTAGCGAGAACTCTAATTCACTAAAGAAAACTTGAGCGTTGCTAACGGCCAATTCACTAACTGAAAACAAATTAGCTTCACAAACGCTAAATCATTAAGGAAATTAGTAGGAGCTAATGCTAACTAATAGCCACTAAYTCATGGTCTGTCATTTAAACACAGAYGTGTGGTGTCCACAGAAACACCAGCATCTTGGATAAAAACCATATCTATGTCCACCAAACAGTTTAAATCACAAGCAGTCTGTGTCACGTGTTTGTCTCCTTCCAGTTGAAGACTAACACAGGTGGAAACACAAAATGCTAAAGATGCTACATGCATACAAAAGGCACATGACACAGGCGTGCAGCGCTGCATGTGAGAGGGGGTAGTTGTTGCTTTTTCAAGTTAGCAGAACTAAATTCAGTGAAAGTTAATTGGTTCGTTAATGGTTTCCAAAGTCTGCAAAAAAAAAGTTATTGTTGCTATTAGCTGACTTGAAGGTGGTAGCGTGTTAGCAGGAACTTCAATATGGTAAATGAAAACTTAACTTCACTATTATCTKTTAGTGGATTAGTAGAAGTGTGCTTACTACTGCATACTGGGCTGATAGAAAATGTAACATTTAATATTGGTAAGTTTGGTTATCTGTGGCCTTTTTGCAGCCGGTKCAGATGTTATCAGTCCATTAAATGGATGTTATTAGTGGTTACCAGTCCCATAGAATGGCTTCAGACTGTCCCGACAGTGCCCCCTAGTGGGTTGCCAGTGCCATATACGTTGGAATGCAACAATCTGCTACCGCCGGAGTCCGGTCTACTTTATCGTAGCCCATGTCATTTTCTCTAAAATTAACCTTAGTGGCTTTATGCCTCATACTAACCAGCTGACAGTCTGAAGCCATTGTATGGGWCTAAWAACGGCTAATAAYGTCCATTTAATGGATGATAACATCCGARTSGAGTGCTTATTGAATTTTTTTAATTGAAATTGAAATAAAACTCAATAAAGCCTGAMTTTGGCCTCTTAGCAGCCTTATTAGCAACAGTGTGCTACATCACATTCCTCACTTTAATGCTCTTGTCACTGTTGGCGCAGTTGTTGACGATWGAAAGTGACTGCTGGAAACGAGTGCTCCCGATGCCAATTACATCAGCTATCAGCTGACTGACAGCAATCACCACCTGGAGGAACAGAACCAACCTGTCAGTAATCAATTTAAATAAGCATTTTCCTCTTGTCACCACCAGAAGATATCAACTTCATACCTGCAGGTGCGTTCGCACAAAAGACTTGCGGCCTGTGTAGTCAAAGTTGCTCTTCATGAGGAAGTAGAGGAGGTGGGCGGCGTCGCTACGGATGGAGCTCAGTTTGGAGTTACAGCACTTGAGGATTTCGTAACAGAGAGAGGCGCACATGTCGGCCCGGCCATCGAAGAAGGTGCAGGGGAACTGGAGGACATGGATGTTTGTTATTTTAAAGATTTACTTCTTGTTCTCACCTGGTATTAAAGATGTCTACGGACTGATCTGATCTCAGTTACAAACTGATGAAGCTAACTACAAGCACTTGTGTCCTGATGCAGCGCAATAATCAAGGTAGAAAAATCTAGAAAAAGTTGAGTTGGTCCTCTGGCAGAGTTCTGCTTTGTAGAAAATGTATTTTGACTTTTCTCCAAGATAGTTCTTCAACCTGAGGAGTTACAAAACCAAGTACAAGTGTTTATATTAGAGTACCCAGTACTAATATGACCAGTGGTGGGCACAGCTAATTAAATCGTTAGCTTTGCTAACCACGTATCCGCTAACTAAAAATTTGATTCACTAAACATAGGGCTGCCAATTCAAAGATATAGGACAAGTCCACTGAGGCTTGATGATRCATCAATTATGACATCATCATATTTCTTATTTCCCCAACACTTGAGTTACAGTACATCCACCTAAACAAGCTCTGTCAGGACCACACTACCTCTACGTAAACATAAATGTTTTATGTATTTATACGGTTCATATTTCTCATTTCATCCATGTTTTCAGTGGTTAGGTCAAATGTGCCATTAAATAATATATTCGTGGCAAYGTTTAGATTTATAATATTAATTTATTGAAAAAAATATAGCAAAAAAACAAACTAACAACAGCCTATAGGTGTGTCCAAATTCAGGGGCTGCGTCTATCAGCGGGTCTTTGGTCAACCGCAAAGACCAGAAAGAAGTGGCTGTGAATTTGGACAGCCTAGTCTTCAGATTTATTCCCACCCTTACCCCGACGTACAGTATGTCTTGTCACCTGGCAACTRTGACGATGCTAAATTGAAGCAAAAATAGATGGAAAAAAGGCAAAATATCAATACATTAGTATTAATGAAATAAAATTAGTTTAAAGGCTACAGACCTGCTGTACGTAAACATTTATTTCATCATACCAGCTCGTTTTATTTCTGACAAGAATAAATTTGAAAACATGTCTATACAAATGTCAAAAGCATTAACAACACAACCGCTTGAAACTTTCAGTTTTTATACCGCCTGATTTTCATTTAAAACTGTACTTGTTTCTCTCGCTTTCTCTGCCATTACAAACAAACAGAGAAATCTCTGGTCAGACCGCAATGCATCATGGGACAGGCTGAGTCGAGAAGAATTCACCAGACTTCAAATCAGGGAAAAAAGGAGGACGCATTTGTCGGCCACATAAGAGGAGTCTTCCAGTTTGGACAGCCTGATGTAAGCKGCTGACAAATTCAGAATTTGGAAAACGCAGCCCCTGAATTTGGACACAGCCTAACAGGCTACGGAAGCTGCTGCAGTCTGTGTTTCTGTCACGGGGCTCCTTTTACTTAAAGGGGAAGCGAGAATACGACAGTCATTTCAATGTCCTCAGTTTTTCATATGGTCGTTACATTTGGTCACTTCAGTATCGTCCCTCAGGGACCCCATTCAGCTTTGGGCTCTAGACACATTCCTACCTGCCTGCAGTAACGTGACAGCTCTGACTGCAGGCTGTATTTAGAATACTGGAGAAAGAACATACCGCCTGGAAAAAAATTCAGTTTGGCTGAAATACGGGACATCCTGGCTAATAAGGGACAGTTGGCAACCCTAACTCCAATATGCTAACTAAAAGTTAGCAAACGCTAACCACTAAACAGGTAATAAACTTAGCAGAAGCTAAATGATAAACACAAACTCAGAATCTGCCAAAATCACCCTTTATGACCACATTACAAGGATCTGAGTGGACATAGGCGAATGTTACTCAATCTGTGTCACACGTCTCTGTCTCCGTCCATTTAAAGACTGACAGGTGGACACACACAATGGTAAAGATGCTACACACACATGGAACATGATGCAGAAGTGCAGTGCTGCATGTGTGAGGGGATAGTTGCTTTTGTTTTTGACTTAGCAGAGCTAAATTTAGTGAATGTTAATTGGTTCTCTAACAGTCTGTAAAGTTAGCAAAATGTTAATTCACAAAAAAGAAAAGCTAGCTTTGCTCTTAGCTGTTAGTGGAACTGTGGTCAACATTGAATATGAGTAGGCCTTTAGCATAACCTCTAAATATAAATTTAATCTATTCCAACATGATTTGTTTGTTGATAATTAATATTTTTATAATTAACACTTTTTTCTTTCAAAAAATAGTAATTTTAATGCCACAGTTATAAATAAAAAAACAATAAAGCAGTGAATAAAGTTTCTGTGTCTCATCTTTTAAACTAAAAGCACTCGGAGAGTGCAAACCTCCGCCAAGACCAATTTCCCCATCCTGTAACAGAGTTACAAAGGGGCACACCAATACTACAGTGCCACCTGCTGGACACTTTGAAACCTACACCCTGTGAAAGCATCACAGCTTTGCCCATGTCAGAGTGTTAAAAGAAAAAAAATTCCTGTATCCGCATCGTGATCCGGAACATCAACAAAATTTAAAGGTGAGTTACTTGAGCCAGTACGCACATGTGGTAAATGTCATGACAACCCGTCCACAAGTTTTTGAGTAATGTTGACCACAGACAGAACGACATAATGATGGACAGACATACGTGACCGAAAACATTACCTCGCCCTTGGCGGAGGTAAAATGATATGCAGCTTGCAGCAGCACGAGCGGAGATGACGAAAAAGTCACAGCTTTGGAGCTTTGGCCTAGCGTTAGCTTAGCGTCCTCCTGTGTTGTCAGCTGATACTCATTAAGTAGCCTGTCAGGTTCATCAGAGGCCAGTTGTCTTTAATTCGGGAGATTCGATTTTAAGTTTTAATTTCAATTTTAAACAAAATATACATTTATATTTTTAACTCCTAATTGCTTGTTTTTCTGTTTACGAGGTTCTAGTAATCCTTAATAATTAGAAGAATCTAAACATACACACCAATTAAAACTTGAGATGTAAAAGAAAAAAAT